CTCAGCCATAAAAAACGAGCGATTAGAAACATTTATAGCTAAATGGATGCACATTGAGGCCATACTCTTAAGTGAAATAAATAGGACACACATGTGTAAATACCAAATAGTTACTCTGGTGTGAGAAACTGAAAGTGTAAATAAAAGTAAAAATGTATAATAGATAATGTGAAACAGGAAGAGGGAGGAGTAGGGGAAAGGAAAGAAGGGAAAAGAAAAAATATAAGAAAAGGAAAAAATGATAACAAAGTCTTTGTAAATAGGGAAGTGTGGAGGGGTTGAAGGTAGGGCAGGGAAATGGGGAAAGAACAAGAACCAAGACACATCATGTAAAGGTACAAATTACCAATAATGAATGTCATTATATTGTATACCTGAAATGTACCAGTAAACTTAATTAAAAATTTTTTTTAAAAATACAGATATCTAAAGAGATAGTTGTGCATAGTGGCGATGCAGTTAAAAAAGACTGCTGGACCCAGAGTGAGTGGGAGGGCTGCTCCAGACAGGCGGTCAGGGAAGGCTTCTCTGGGGTGGTGACATTTGACTTGACAGCATTCCGGACAGAAGAAACAGCATCTGCGAAGGCACAGAAGTCACAGTAAGTTGGCCCCTTCAGGAGATATTAACATGACCAAGAGGGAGAGTGGCAGGTGGTGAAACTGGAAAAGGAGGATGGACAGATCATAATGGTCTATATGCCATGAAGAAGAGCACAAACTTCATTCTAATTATAACTGGAAGCTATGGGCAATGTTAAAGCAGATGGTTAATGCTTTGATTCACATTTCCAAAAGACTGGGGACTGGATAGTTAATATCTTAATTACTTTTCTCGTTGCTGAGACAAAATACCTGACACCCAAAGGAATAAAGATTTATTTAGCTCACAGTTTGTAGAGGTTTCAGTCCATCATCAGCCGTTTCCAAGGCAGGGTAACATAGCAGAGAGGCATCGCAGAGGAGAAACAGTTCACGACAGGCAGAAAGCAACAAAAGCAACCAAGTAACCAGTGACAAGGGACACTTTCTATTCCTTATATATTATCCAGGCTACCCACCTGGGATTAAGGCAGGAAGCACTCACATCCTTAATCCTAGATCCCTTAATCCTAGCATTGCACCATGAATCAATCCAAGCATCACATCCTTGATCCCAGCCAAACCAATCAGTGGAGTAACTTAGTAATCACACACTCTAGATCCAGCCACCTCTGAAAAGCCCTACCTATGACTTCATGAGGCTTTGGGGGGACATCTAGACACAAGCCAGAACAGTTAGATTCCAGGGTGGAAATGGAGCTGTAAAAGCAGGGTAAGAGTAATATGATGGTTAGTTTTATGTACAAAATTGTCTGGGCTAAGGAGGAAGTTATTTAATCAAATACTAATCTAGATGTTTCTGGGAAGAGTTTTGTAGATGTGATTAACATCTATAATAGTTGAAAGGTCCAAAGGGGAAAGGGAAGTGGGAGGGGTAGGGGAAAGGAAAGAAGGGAAAGGAATAAATATGAGAAAAGGGAAAAATGGAAACAAAGTGTTTGTAAATTGGCGAAGCCCAACCAACCTCCAATGCTGCTTGACAAAGTTCCAGCTGGGGGAAAGAAAGGGTGGAACACATCGTACCCTCATGTTTTATTTTTTCTTGCCATAATGTTTATAATTGTTACTCTGATCACAGGAGTCATTGTGTTTGTGACT